TTCATGTCATTTAAGCCTCAAGTAGACAAATACTGGTGACAAAGCTGCGGAATCATATGCCTGCAGCTTAACTAGGTGGGGCCACGCACCTGCCACATCTCTCCTGTTTTCTTGCCTGAGGAGATTTCCTGTAGCGCTCACAAGTGTGCACAGGGGCAGACTAGACCTACAGGGAAGTCAGTACCTTGTGGAGTGGCGCAGGTCGTATTTCCCCAAAGTGGCTGCAACAGTACCCGCCACTCCACTGTGCCTTTTTAACAACGTGGCTGCAATATTCCTGCCATGGAGGAATGGGCTTGTGTCCCCTCTGCTTGAGCCTGGGAGATCTTGGGCTGATGGAGAAAGTGTGACATACAGTTTCCAAAGCAAGATCATAAAGGGCAGCCCAGCTTCCATCCAGCTCTCCTGGGAGGAATCATCTGCTAAACAAACTACACACAAGTCCTCGCCTCTAGCTACCATGTTGTGAGGAAGCCTAACGACCCTGGAGAGCCCACCCAGAGACCACTTGCCAAAAGGCCAACTGGTGTCCCAGGCAACAGCCAGCCTCAAGCATCAGACTGGTGACTGCAGCAGCCCCCTGGGGATTGTAGCCCCGGCTTACGGAGTCACTCCCAACCTGAAAGTCTTCCCAGCAGAGACTCGGGCCTGGTGGAGCTGCCACAAAGCACCTGTGCTGTGCCCTCCCCAACTCATGAGCTACAGCAGCACCACCATAATACAATGGCTGTGCAACACCCCTGAGTTTGGGGTGGGTTTTTGCCCAGGGATAGAAGCTGGAAGAGGAAGGACAATGAAGGATAACTACCGTTGGATTCCAGTCAACTATTCCCTGTGCAGGTAATCTTGGGAAGCTTTCTGGAAGGTCTGCAGAGGCCTGGTGGGGACAAGACCCCGCCAACTAAAGCAGCCACCTCGACTTCACTGCCTTTGTGAATTTCCTTCTTCTCTGTGTCATTCTCATGGTTCTCCCACCCTGCTTCTTGGGATCATCTCCCCAACAATCCACACTCAAGTCCTTGGCAAAGTCTCTACTCTCTGAAGGCTCCATCTACCAAGAGCCTCCTGCCTTACAAGACAGCGGTTTTGTGACTTTCTCCATTTTGCAGATGAGGAGACTGTGGCATGGAGAGGTGAAGGGACTTGCTCCAGGCCACAGGGACTTGGAAGCAGGGTGAGGCTCAGAACCCGGGCCTTCCAGCTCTGAATGCAGCTGAAGAATGTGGACTCTACATTCTTGCCAGGAGAAGCCCTCAGAAGTTTTGCAAAGGTTGTTCTCAGAGGCTTGGTGTTGGGACAATGTCATTTGCTGTCAATTAACCCTTGGTCACGCTTACAGTATCAGATGTAGAATGAAATGGGACAGCTAGGCCCCTCCAGACAGAGACCATGCCAGGAAACTCCATATACCTTACTAGTCCCAGGCCAGAAGAAGCTCACAGACTCACTCCCACTTCACAATCATTTGATTTTAAAAAGCCTCCTGTTTTATATCACCAAAATAGATTGTTTATTGGTAAATATAAATGTTACAGTTTAAAATTTGCTTTGAAGGTCAGCATGAAGATATGCTTTCAAGGGCCTCCCCTGGTGGCACAGCAGTTGAGCACTGGGCTGCAAAGCTGCCCGCGGCCTCTGCAGCGCCAGTTCGATCCCCGGCCACCGGCAAGGGTCCCACATGGTGCACAGACCTCCCCTACTGCCCACTGCTCTGCTCAGTATGTATTTCATTGTTCTGCCTGTTCTGTTCCCCGCTCTGGCTCTGGTGAATTCTCTCACCGTCCCGTGCTTCTGACTGTACCCAGTGCTTGTATAAATAAATAAATAAATTTAAAAATAAAAATAAATAAATAAAGATATTCTTTCAAGGAGTTCCTATGACTATATGTCAGCCACTATTTTAAATATGTTAACCCATTAGGAACCATCCTCATTTACAAATGGGCAAACTAAGGCACAGAGAAATTCAGCAACTTATAATGGCAGAGAAAATGGTAAAAGTGATGCCAAAAGGGGTAAAAGTAAAATTGCAAATGGTAAAAAACTTACTAGTTTGGTCAGCCTCTGAGAGACTAAGCTGTAAGAAAAGACCACAGACCTGTGGAACACAAGGTAAGAAGATGCTGGGGCAGAAACTCAGGTGCCCAAACACAGGTGAAGTGGGTGTGGGGTGAGATGGCTGATGTAGACCAAGCAAACCAGCTCTCTGGACCCAGCAGGCTGCAACCCAGCAGGCTGCAACCCTAACGTCCAACATCTTCACTCTACAGATGAGAAGCTGAGGCCCAGAGATGAAGGAACTCGCCCAGGGCAACACAGCCTGAGAAGCCAGGAACAGGTCCCAAACTCTCCTGTCTGCACACCCCACCTGCAGCAGAACGGAGATAAGCACTCAGAAAAGGGCGGGTGGGATGTGTGAGATTTGAAGCCTCAAGGCAGGTCCTAGAAGAGGGCTTCTAGTTAGACCCCTTGAGAAGTTAGGCTATGACTGGGATAGGATGACAGTCTGCTCCTTAAGATTTTTTTTTTTTAAGATTTATTTATTTATTTATACAAGAACCAGGGTACAGGTCAGATGCGTGGGAGGGTGATAGGATTCACCAGAGACAGAGCCGGGAACAGAACAGGCAGACTGATGAAATACACTGCTGAGAGGAGCAGTGGGTGCAACAGGAGAGGTCTGTGCACCATGTGGGACTCTCGCCGGCTGACCGGGATTGAACCGGCGCTGCAGAGGCTGTGGACAGCTTCACAGCATGGTGCTCAACCGCCTGCCCCACCAAGGGAGGCCCAAGATTTGGTTTTAATATGTAACCAGGAAATGCAGTGTCCTCCCATCACCCGCTTCTAGACACATCCATTCATTGAGATCAACATACTGCTGTGGTCCTTCCAGAAGCTGTTCCCTGCTCAGGGCATTCCAGACAGAGATGCTCGCCATCGCCCTCTTCTGGCCACTCCTAGCAGCAGCACAACCTGCAGAGAGGCCATGGGGCTGGGAAGCCTCGGAGGGCTGTGCAGTTGCACAGAGCTGGCCGAAACCACACTTCCAGGATCCTCTACTTCCCAGCCTTGCTGCCTGTCCCATCTTGGTAAGAATCACAGAACACACATCCCCTGTTATCCAACATTTTCTCCAAAATTACTGGAGAAAAATGAGGTCCCAATAGGCACATCTGACTCAAGGTTATTCCTTTAGCACTGAGACTCAAGGTGGGGAGCTCCCCAGACTGACCTATGCCTCTTTCACCTGGATCTGCAGCGTCCAGACCAGCTGCCCGGCAAACTGGAGGGTTGAGGCCATTCCAGAACCAACTCGATCAGCTCTCCAGTCCAGGTCGCAGCTGCCCACACTTCTCCCTGGGGGGCCTCCAGCTCTCATCCACTGGCGTTCAGTGTCTGCTGGTGCAGGTGATGGTCAATCCACCTGCCTTGCCCCCACCCCATTTTCCCAGCCTCAGTGTCCCTCTTTTCAGGGCAAAGTCACCATGCCACAGTCACCATCCCAAAGTCACCATCCCTGCTCATGAGCCAGGTCCATGAGGGACCTCCTCATTCAGGGCACGCTCCCTGCTGTTATCTCTCCAATTCTCAGGGGCCAGCTCTGCTGGTCACCTCCCTATCAGCGCCCCACAAGGTACAGCAAGAGTTGGATGTTCTGGAGGAATCTTCCCACTTGCTAAGATCAGACCCCCTGAAGCCTGGTTTGACCCTCAACCTTTACAAGATTCTCATCTCACAGCCTAGTTCCTGCCCAGGCTTCATCCAGTTTTGATCTTCCCAATGCACAGCCTTGACCACCGTCATGGCAGTAGCAACAGAAATAGTTATGGTGCCACAATCGTCACTCCATTCGCAGAGATTTCCCATGTATCATGAGTCTTCCTGTATTTACTGCCCCCAATTTAGAGATGAGGAAACAGGCTACCACAGGTCTCCAGGGAGTGAAGGAACGAGGGGCTGCTGGCCCACGGCACTCTCAGACCTGCGCCACCGCAGCACCTTGAAGCAGCACCTTCTGAGGCTGGAGGCTGTGCTCTTCCCTCAGGTGTGCCCACGCCTGCAGGTCGCCAAGAAGCCAGCCGACCAACTTGGACACAAACAGCGCCACCAGCGGACCCCCGGTACCGGCCAGGGCCCACCCGGGCCTCTGAGACCATCCTCTCCCAGGATCCTGTCGTAGCTGGGAGCGCCCCCCAATCCATCGGCGCGCTGCAACTGGCGCCTGGACCTTCCGGGGCTGACGCCTCAGCTATTTCGGCGCTGAAGCCGCACCCTCGAGGCTCAGGAGTCAGTGGAGTCGGTCCGTGGCTCCTGGGAAGCGGGAGCTGCGATTTGTGCCAGAAAGACCCGCGCGTCCCCGGGAGCCGCTTCCTGGCGGGATTAGTGCACCTGCCGGCTTCTATCTCCACCCACACAGGGCGACCCCAGGGCCCCAGCCGAGCCCAGGGAAGTTCGCGGCAGTTTGAGTGGCCCACTCCCTCGCTACCTTTTCTTTTTGCCTGCTGTGAAGCGTTTCGGTTTTTATTCTCTTCCCAAGAGTAGCCACACGATCTTGGGAAAGTTTGCGCTAAACTTACAAATGCCGTGAAACCCGAGCCAGCAACTCCATCCGAGCCCGGGGCGCCGCGCCCAGCCCGCTCCTCGGTCCCCGCAGCGAGCGTCAGGCGCGGCCGGGCCGACCCCCGGCTGTCAGGCGGCCGGGGCGCCCGCTCCAGCCCCGCGCGTCCCCCCGCGAGCGGGCGCCGGCCCGGGGGGTTGTTGGGGCGCACGCCCGCGAGCGCGCCCCGGTGCGCGCCGCAGCCCAGGCCGGGACGTCCCGGTCCAAGGGCTTCTCAGCAGTTCCTGCGGGGCATTGTGTTCCCGGGGAGCCCGGGGACCTCGAGGGAGGGGAAGGGAGACCCGCCCCACAGACGGCAGCGCCGGCTCGCCCACGACCTTATTTACATTTCAAAGGCAAACTTCTGCCGGACTTCCCCGGCGGCGGCGGCGGCACCTACCGGCTTTGCACGGGTCGTGGTAATGCTCCAGCTGCCGCTCCGCGCTCTCCGCGCCTCCCGGGGCCGAGTCGTCCGAGGCGGCGTCCGCGCGCTCCCCGACCCCGCCGGCGTCTCGGGGCAGCGGCAGCAGCAGCAGCAGCAGCAGGGCAGGCGGCAGCAGCGGCGCAAGGACCCCGAGCGCGGTGGCCCGGGGCATGGTCGCGAGGGGCCGGCGGAGACCCCGGGAGTTGCGGGCGCGAAAGCTCGGTTCGGGCGAGGCACCGCGCACCGGCTCGGGTCGGCGGCGACTGGGACGCGATTACGCGCGGCTGCCTGGCATGGCTCGGGCGCGGAGCGAGCAGAGCACGGCGCCCCCTCACGCGCCGGGGCGCCCGGGAAGCCGACGCGCAAGAGCGACCTGCCCGGCGGCCGCGGCTGCAGCGGCTGTGACTGTGGCGGTGGTGGGAGCAGTGGCCGCTCCGCCCCTCTCCACCCGGGCTGGACCACACAGCCCTCGCCAGGGGCCCGGGGCAGCCAATCACTCAGGCGCCCCAGGCGAGGCCCCTCCTCCTCGCGGCACCTCCGCAACTTCGGAGGAAGGGGAGCGAGGTGAGGATGCTGAAGGCAAGGACCCCGGGTGCGCGGGGCTTCCAAGAGCCGAGCGCGACCTTCCCCGGACGCCAGCCTCGGCCTCGGCCTCGGCGAGCACGGCTGCTGAAGACCAAGGCTGGTGGACTTCCCGCCTTGGTTTATTCTCACAGCACACTTCACAACTCCCGGGTGCACACGTGGGCGAAGGCGGGCAGCAGTGGCAAGAGCTCGAGCGCAGAACCGGCACCAGCGGGCTGTGCGCTTTCGGACAACCGTTCTCGGCGGGGATAAGTGAATGTCTCTCTGATCACTCAGAACGCAGGGGGCGGGGGTAAAGGGTTATGATTCTCTCAATATTCTTAACATCCCCGTGCCCTGCCATGAAGGGTGCAGTGCTGCAGCACCCCCACCAAATCTAGTGGCTGGAGATAGGTAGGAGGAATGATTTAAAAGGACTGTTTCCCCTCGAGGTGATCCTAACCGTTAGTAAAAATCTAAGCTGCTTCACACTGGCTGCAAGATTGACAAATGAACAGCTGTACGAAGTATTTGTGTTAAATTACAGACATTTTATTAAAACACCATTATAACCTGATGGAGTAAAAATGACCAGCTTCTAAAGCATGGTTACTTTTTGCCAATTAAAAACATATGCCCACATAATTTAGGAGCAATAACCAAGGAGTCAAACCCACTCCTAGGTTGTACCTGACAAGTAGAAAGTGTAAGAACTGGGCCGTTTTGATTTACAAAGTGGTATTACTGTGAGCCTTTTCAAAGACCATTTTATGCCAGCAGAAATTGGCCCCATCAAAAAAAAAACACACCAATCTGTAGATTTGCAACATCACATCCAGTATAAATCTTTCTTTTCACTTAAATTGTACGCAGAAAAATGGATTTAACTTCCCCTTTGGGTTTCCAGGTGGTTTCACCGTCATTATCGACAATAGTTCAGGTGCCCAGAACCCAGCTTTACACAGAATTCTGAATTTCCTGCATTACCAACCATCTACCTATCTTTTCATCTATTAGCTAGGATAACAAGTCAATCAAACCAATAAAGGTTTAGAAGTCAACCATGGGAAGAGTGCTACCGGGTTTTTTGGCCTGGCTTTTGAAAAGAAATGAAAATTGCCCCTGCTTCATGTTGCGTTTTCATCAAACAAGCACTTACACGATGTGGCCAGAGTGGGCAGGATCTGGTTAGGAACTGACATGGAGGAAAAAGCAATTTGGGGGGCGGGGGAAGAGGCTGCCAAATGGCAAGGAAGGCCATTAAACAGGCAGTAGGTGTGGAAAGGAGTTTAACAGTATTTGTGTCTAAAGGATGGAAGGAGTCAAACCCAACGCCATAGTTTTCTGCATTCAAACAAGTGAAGGTCACCACCTTCAATAGACAAATCTACAAAGTCAACAACAAAAAGGCCTAACAAACTTGTGTGACACTTCCAGGTCTCCAGATGGCACCAAGCAGACCGCCAAGTGGCTTCCTCATTAGAATCGACCTTACAGGCGACCTCTTGTGCAAGCACTGAGGGTGTGCGCTTTTACTGCACCTCTGATCCCCACCTGGTGAGTAGCTGTCAGGTCTTCTCACCAACACTTTGATCAAATATTTTAAAGACAGCCATGCTCCTGGATGATAGATCTGGATAGATGTTACTTTGGCTCTCAACCAATAAATATCAACGAAGTACTTGCATATGGAATAGAATGGGTGATAGGAACCACTGAAAAGGGATGGTTAGTATTTTTTCTCAGTTCCAGTGTCTAACTTCACTCACTGAATTTACATATTAAACTCTAATCTGGATTCAAATATTTTTAAATATTTTTCTTTATTTAACCCCATCAAAAAGCTAGAGGTAGATGTAGAACAAAGGCTTTATGATGCAAAGCTGCTCAACTTTGTTCCATTATTATATTCACAGTATTTGTGGGTTTTCTCCCCGATAGCATGAAACATACAAGTGGATACAAGCTTCCCCCTTTTCAGTCTGTCCTCTATCCATGTCACTCGGTCTATATCTTGTTCCCAGAGGGCCCCAGTTCTTTCAAAGGAGGTATTAAACCCCTCCCAGGTCTACCAACTAGATTACTTTTCTTCATTTCCCCTCTATGGGCCACTGCACATCACCAACTTCTCCAAGGCAGGAAGCAGAAGCTCCAGAATAAAATGGGAGCTCTTGTCTGTTGGTTCATTCCTTAGTTTACATTATTGACCACTGCAAAGGTAGAGTTCTTTGGAAAAATTACAAATTTCAGTATTGCTACAATATTTAGCAGCTAAAACTTTTTATGGTTCCCCAAACCTTTAGCCCAGTGGATGAAGGTTTATCATGGGATAACCTTTATCCCATGAGGCCCCCTATCCACCCTCAAAGCTTCCTTTTACCTTCCCAGAATTGGCTCTTACCACATCTCTCTCCACTCTGATTACACCAAACATCTTGCAGTCACCCTACTAGGGCTTTGCTGCTTCACAACTCATACTTCTGTCTGGGGCAATCTGTAAAGTATACAGCCTGTATCCTCATGTCAACATCTACCATGGCAGCTACCACCACGTATGGCACCATCTATTTATGTATGTTCTACCCTACTTGGTCTATAACTTGCAGCAGATCTTACTGACCAATTCCAACTTGAAATCAATTGCCTTCCATTTCTCACTTTCTAGAGACCCTCCCTTCCTTTCAATGACCTGAATTCAAAGTTAAGTCCTACAATCTTAGCTTAGACTGAGCCACTAAAAATGACCAGGGAAAATGACTTACACTATCTCCTCCATTTTTAAGATTTGGAACGCTAGTGAAAATAATCTTAAATATATTTGTGGACTGTATTACCAGTGACTTCTCATATCCCAAGGTAGGTTTATTTCCCCATTTTCTAACGTTAAACCATAGATTAACAGTTCAGTGAAATAATTTTCACTTTGAAATTTAGAAACTGGCTGCAGAACAGATCATCTTATACCTCTAGTTTCCCAGAGAGACAAAAAGTATTCACTGAAGAAATCAAAAATGATTCAAATTTGTACCAATTTTAACTTGGCACAATTACTTGGCTAATAGGAACTGTCAAGTATAAGTGTCGACTGAAGCAGCTAATAAAATCAGTAAGAGGAAATAACCAAGGAGGTTGACAAGAATCTGAGTAAATGCTAAAAACTGGAGATGAAAAACAAAACACACCATTAGATCTGGAGAAATTAACCATTGATTTTGTCATAGCACAAAAACAACCCTCCTGTTGATATAAAACACTCATTTCTAACATTATCTCTTTATTATACATTATCTATCCCTAAGGGCCGGAGAGTGATTGTCCTCATTTTACATTACACCAGTTAAGACCCTAATTTTGGTAACTTTGGGGCTAAAAATGAGAGCTCCTTTTAAGTTACTCTAGATTCTTACCTATGAAATGTAATTGTCTACCATATTGGCTTCACAGAATGGTTGTGAAGAACATATGTGAAACTGCTTTGAAAAAGTGATGTGCTAGACAAATGCAGGCTATTATCAGGAGAATGACAGTGGGCGTGGAGTAGTGGGTTTCAAGTGGAGTCGTTAGAGGTTATATATAAAGTCAACAGAATGGTAAAGAGGAAAATTATTTTTTAAAAAGACAAACCTTAGACATTATATCATTTTTCCAGAATAAAAGTTGGGGTGGGAAGATCTAATCTTAAATTTTAAATCCTTCATTTCAGGCGTCAGCAAACTCTGGCCCATTGGCTGTTGTTGCTGTTACACTCGACACAGCTGTACTCACTGGCTTCCATGCTGCCATGGCTGTCGTGCACAGTGGTAGCTGTGATACAGACCAACTCACAAAGTATCTAATATTTCCTATCAGGCCCTTTACAGAAAAAGCTCGCTGACTCCTGATTTATTTTAACTATGGCAAGCTATTAGTAATCTCTCCATATGCACACCAATAACTGGTTATCTCTTGTGCTTGTTCATCTATTTCTAAAAGGAAAGAAATAAAGCATCCAAGGGAAGTACATTTAACTGTTTATTACTTTTTAAAAATCCACCTTCAGTTAAGATTAACAGACTAGATTAGAATCTCAAATGTATCTGATACATTATATACTGGATTTCTATTACTTAAAAGTCAGTTGGAATAATGGCCTACACAAACCAATAGTGTGTACAAAATGGAAGTAATCATCAAGCAGTAATTATTTCCTTCCAACTATGTCACCGATTGTCCATGCTCTGTGGGGATTTCTAGAGTCAAGGTTGTCACAGCTGCAAAGCCCAAGTGGGACTGCTTTTCCAAGTATATTCTGTTGTCCTTGAAATAGAATTTCATGTTATTTCTTCCCTGCCTTAAGCTCTTATTTATAACATTTATAACTTCCAAATGACCTAAATTGATGAATTGGGATAAACACATATAATGTTGCCTCATCAATTTATTAGCAAGCTTAGTTCATCAATACTTCCTTGAAAGATGCCTTCATGATTTATTTCCATTTCCTAAGACAGTCAAACAAGAACTTAATTTTTACTTTGTCTTTGCACAGTTCTGCCTACAGTTTCAATAAGAATGTATAATCAGATGTCTCATAGGAATTATTCTTGAGTTTTAAACTGAACGTTACAAAATTTCTGCAGCTATATGTTAACTTTCTGGTCTACCCTACCTTTAAATCTAGTCTATTTCTGTACACAGTTCCAAACAATCTTTTCAAATTTTCACTTCTTTAACATCTTCATTGCTAAAATATAGCTTCATAGCTATGGAACTTTTAGGAAGATGTAAAACACTTCTGAATACTGTGCTTTTATATATCATACAACTTCTATTAACTATTTGTCCCCCAAAATCATCAAAATGAATTATTAAGAAATGCTGAAATCTAAACTTAAAATCCAGATGCAACTTTAGTATGCAGATTACAAATAGGCTTTTCTTTCCCAGAAATCATATATAGAAGCAGCCCTTCAGTATGTAGTTTTTCCCAAGCAAATTATATTAATACACTGTCTCTTTTTTACATTTGTAAAAATTCACAAAATTTAAAAATAAAATTTATTTGCAAGACATTTGGCATAAGGTGGTTAGTAAACATTCAGAAAACAAAATTTTTATCAAAATGAATATAAGTTGTGGATAAACCCTAAGTAAAGTGGCTTTTGGAAGAAATAGAATTTGCAGCAACCACGTTTATACAGAGGTCCATCCACTGGAAAACACCCAAGTGTGCCATTCACTAGCTTCAGACATCACCACCATATAATGGATTTTAAGAGTATGGGGCTTGATTTATGGGCAAATCTAGGAGCCCAACATGATACATTAAAGAATGGTTTACCAACCCTCCAGGCATTACATTTCCACCTTATCCTACTTTTGTACTAGGATATATCTGTAACAATGACAACTACTAATGTAGATAAATTTCAGGAGAAGCATGCTTACAGATAAAAGAGGAAAACTTATTCTTAATTTTTATAGTGTTCAAAGCATCAGTTGGTTAAGTTGAGCAAATAATGTTGAATGAAAGATACTCGGCATAAATGGAGTGAAAAACCCCCAGCCTTTAATTAAATAATATTCTACTTTATTATTCTACATTGAGAGCTAGGGAGCTAGAGCATTTGTAAATTAGTTTCTCTAGACACAGAAACACATCCAGCCCCTCTATGAAGTCAAACCAATACATATTTTCTAAAGGACTTTCAAGGAGATTTACAGTCATTTCAATGGAACTCAATGTATTTAGAAATTGGAAAACTAATTTTCATGAAGATTACAAAAGGCTTTAAATAGAGCTCAATTTAGAATTATGTACCTGAAAGCAGCTAAAACTCGTTCCTTAAAAACCTTACCTCTTACCTACAAATCATGAGAAACAAATTTCATTTTATTAAGATAAAAGCTTGCTATCCAATCTACACTCTGTCAGATAGACTATATGTTGTTAATTACATGTAGTTAAAAATTACAATAAGCCATTAAATACTGACCCTCAGATTATTTTAAGATGGTATATGGAGGTAAGGAGGAAGAGAAAATGGAAGAACCAGTGGATTACATTTAATGTAACATTTTGGCTTGAAGAGGATTTACCTATAGCTTTTGATCAGATTTCTGTTTTCCCATGAGAGCTATATTTAAGTGGCAAGAAAACAAAATTTTCACTCTGTATAGTCGTTACATCCCACACTATAGATTGCAGACTTGATTAATTTATAAAAACATATTTTGTAATGAAAACATCTTATGTAACTATTAATGCAGGAGTTTCACATTAAGGTTTAAATACAGCTGTTTCCGGTCTTTCTAAAAACACCAATATACAGTATTGTTTTAACTGGTCATTTGCATAGCAAACTATTAAACTAGAAACTCAATGGTTCTAGGAGAACTTCACATTATGGATAGTCCCAAAAGATGTATTCAAATTAAAACCACTTCTCTAGAAAACTGCAACCTTTATTTGCTTATCCAGTAATTAGCTAACCACTTTCACCCCATTCCCACTTTACATGGTACACCAACCTGAACAGATTTTGTGCCACAATTTCATTCAAAGGACTTGTCATTCACTTGGTGACTGTACTGGACAATCTAGATGTAAGCAAGTTTGGGGATTTGAAAGTGGGCGTTCCCTGTATTAGAAAAGTATAGTTTATAAGTATATTTTTAAAAATTGCATTCAGTAATATTGCCTTTTTAAAAAGATATCTTTAAATTGCAAACACATCTATATTCACAAAACAATTTGGTCAGGAAATTTTATTTTAACATTCTAAAGCAGTAATGCTTTAGATGTTATTTAAGTGCCCCAGACAGGATTAACAAAATTAAATGTTTCTAAATTACAAATTTAGCTCCTGTGGGAGTCCCAGAGAAGAAACAGAAAACAATCCCCCCTCCCAAAAGAAATATGACACACATTTTGAAGAAACCCCAATGTTTCATGCAGTGGTAGGCAAGATGTAAAAAGCCACCCAAATTCACACATTTCTACACCAATCATCATCAGAAAAAAGCACTCTGTAGTCAATCTGTACATCCAAATGCATTTGGGAATCTATACCTACGTTACATTATTTAATGTTATATACATTTATTACCCACCCACCCCTTGTTTTTAATAATTTCTTATGTAAAACCTTCATTCAAACCCAAAAAAGATGTAAGACTAATGTGGGGAGAGGGGGGAGGGATAATCACTTTAGACATTCAGTTAAAATGTAGTTTATCTAAATCTCAAAATGTTTAATAGAAACAAATATCTTCTCCATTTAACACTTTGCTTTCTAACTGTACAGTAAATTTAATTGTAGAGAGTACTCCTCTATCTTCAGACTGTATCTTCTTTGGATGAAATTAAGATTAACTGAATAGTTTTAAGATAAATAAAGTTGGTCCAACTAAGATGACAGCAGATATATTACATGCAGGATTGATTTTTTAATTTTCACTTTCAAAAAAAAAGGATGCAGTTGAGTTGGGAGAAAAAAAGCAGGTCAAAAAAGAACCCAGATTCAATATATAAAAATGTCCCACAACAGATTAACAATGGCAATAAAAATAAGAGAAAAAAGTAATCTTTCTGGAACATCATTTTTCAATACCGTAGAAACACTAAGTGCCAGGAAGATTTCTAGTCATGTAATTTTAGCATCCGCGTTTCCCCCTCTTAATTTTATTTGAACAAATGCTTTAAATAAACTATTTGTCCTCTTCACTGAAGAGAGCTGGTCTATTTCATTTTTAATGAGCTAGTTTTTGGGAAGATTAGCCATGTACTGTAGTAATGCCTACTGCATAAAATCCAAGCATTTGCTGTGAACAGTTGGAGAAAGCAGTCACTAAGAACCTAGGATCAATGGAAATAGATGTTACTTTAAGTCATCCACGAAAGAGAGACCCACAGAATACCCAGTGTTAAAGCCCAAATCTCTTCTTGCTCTTTTTATGCTGTGCAAGTTCCACCCCTATTTTGATCCGAAGTTCCAGATTTTCTTGGGTCTCTAGTCAATTTTCACATTAGTATAGATTTTTCGGACAAAGGCACTTGTTCCCATGTAACCAATTGCTCCTGTAAAGATAAAATAAGATGTCCTGAAACATGTATACAGAATAGTATTCATCATTTACAAACACAAAGCCCACTGTTCTAGACTGACATTTCTTTTCCAAGACAAAGTCTTTATGTTAGTACTTCCTTTGATATTACTAAAACTGTTTTTGCAAATCACCTACTGTCACATACCAACACTGACCTGATGTAATATTTTTAGAATTAAGCATTGATTATTATTTGTATGATCATAACCACATGCATTAAAATATATCTCATAAGAATAATTTGATGATGACAAAATTTGTTAAATGAAAAAACATGTCTTATTTAAAATTTGAGCATATACTATACAAGGCCATTAAAATATTTATATGCTCCCTAAACCACACGATACCTTATGGATAAGTAAGTAAAAAGTGACCGGAGATTCTCTCGGAAAAGGTCAGAGTACCATGGCTCAATGTCATCTGATGTTCTAGAGAAGAGGCATTTTGTGATGGTTTCTTTTTTATATTTAAATTATAGACTCTATGTGGCTCACATTTGAGGGAATGGACAAGAGAGACAGTTAATTAGGTAGGTCAGAAATTTTGAAATGTTTTTAATAATTAGCCTCATATGAGATTCAAAACACCAGAAAGCACAGGTATTTATTCTGTTAAATTAAGTATCTACCTCCAATGCCTAAAAGAGTGGCACATGGTAAGGATGTGCATGGCACATGCAGGAAAGAATGAATAACCTGGATATTTCTTTACTGCAAATATCACTAAATCTTTAGAACAAGACTACTCATCATATCAGCCACAAAAAGATTCACCATTGGGTTTAGGAGTTAACCATGTAGCCCAATATTAAAAGTTTAAGAGTAAATATTCAATGACCCCTAAATGATCAATTTTGAACTTTTATTCACCAAACTGGTATGTACAAGGAAAGAAATAATTCTATAATGCTTTTATGAACTACATATCTCAAGGCAACTAAACAGATGATAAAAGGAAGTCCCCCTTATATGATTAAATATAAAAGAAACAACAGAATTAGAGTATTTGAATTACTAGTAAGTTATATTAGCCAATAACAATCAATGGCTGCTAGTCTACAAAAAAGTAAGACAACCAGACATTGAGTGTCTCCTGATTAAAGTTTACAAACTACCTGGGTAAATATTTTAATTATGATCAAGCCACTAGGTCTAACTACCAACTTTACAAGAAATACAAAGGAAAAGCACATGAAGAAATAATAAATGACACCTCAGGTATCAGCAAAGTCCATTATGTGGGAACCACGAAAATTTAAAAACCAACAAAAAAGTTTCTTAAAGTGCAAGGGAAAGGAGAAAATATCAAAAGATAAAAATAGAGACATTTAACAAAGCAATGCATGGAACTTAATCACATCTCGATGTAAACAAACTATTAAAAGAAAAGTGAGAATGACCAGGGTTAATGTGTATAATAACTGAATATTTGGGTAATTATACTTACCCTGTATATATACATGTACTAAAACAGTATTATAGGTCAAATTTATTACATAATTACATAATATAAACTATACATACATGCACACATGCTCACACACTGAAATTCATACTCATAGGAGATCTGAGATTCAAGTTAGCATAAAAGAGAAGTGGGAATATAAATAAGACAAAATTGATCATAACTTAACAATTATTGATGTTAGGTAGGTCACTATATATGTATGTATCACTGCCCCTGTTTTTGCATATATTTGAAAATTTCCCATAATTAATACTCGTATAATTAAAAATTGTCAAACAACAAAAATAAAGCCAAACAACAAAACAACAGAGTAAACTTATTCTCCACCATTTCTGCAATGAACAGACATTCCATATTATGAAATAATTATATTACATTTTAAAGTAATGATAAATCATCTAAAAATAGTTCTAACACAAATTCTTATAAGATAAGGAAAATATTCAGTTTTTTAAAAATAACCCTGAATTCTTAGAACACAAAATAGCTATACAACTTTAACTAGAAGCAAAAATTTAACTGGCATAATATAACATTAGTACAATAACCAAATCCAATTTTCCAGATTAAAAAAAAAAATTGCTCCCCTTTGGGTAGAGATATACTTAAGAGCACAACATTTTCAACCTAGAGAATAATTTTTCCTAATTTTGTGAGTACCTCAGAATAAAATTATAAAAACGATTTTATAAAAAAACTCTATAAATTATAAAGAGGATACTGAAGACTCTAAAAAAGTAAATGTCTTGGGAGTAAGACATATAATTTTAAACTTAATTTCCTTAAAAGTAAAATGTTATGCTCAAAACATAGAGATAACAGTCTAATTACTTGCCACCTTAAAATAGTCATTTTTTCCCTACATCGAAAAAAATTCAAATATTTTTCTTTCCATTACTAAAAAAAAAGCATTATAGCAATATTACTTGATAGGTATGTATAATTTTTGTATTTCAACCAACTGCAGTCTGAATGTTTCCCATTCCTCCCTAAAAACTGGATTAGCACTGAAGGCATAGAAATCCATTAAGGTATAAAAGCTGGGATATTGCCAGGATGGCAGGGAACGGTAAATGTGCCAAGATTCTCAGGCAGTAAAAAGAAATTTCACCAGGAGAAGCACTCAAAAAGAAATCTAACTAGATTCATTCCATTTTCATTGTAAATGTCAAAATATCACCACTCTAAATCTTCCTAAGATCACATATAGAAATAGTTAAAAAAAAAAAATTAACCCTCTGCTAATGACATGATTCTATGCCTCACCAAATGCTGGTGATAATCAAGAAAGATCTCAAATTTAAAAAAAGAGTAGTTCAATGAGCAATATTCTTAAGGAAGGATGGCCAATAACACTAAAAGAAACTTCTCATCGCTCAGGGATATCTAAGAATGTTTCCATGTGACACAGCTTCAGCTACTAGTCAACTTTCTGTCAAAGTTGGCTAACTATCAGAGGAAAATGTTACCACAACAGCTATAAATAAAACATGTGACCACAATATAGAGAACTGTCCTTCCTTGTAGCTTGAATAACTAGTTTCACTCATTTACAGTCGATCTCACTTGTGTGTATGCTCACACATAAGCACATACATGGTGCATGCGAACAAAGTAGACTCTGATATTTAACAATTCCAGAACAGAAGTAGGACCAAGAAAGCCTTTAGCCTTATCAACAGAAAACAACAGTGGCCACCACTCACTGAACACCTGCTATTTACCCACATTCAACCACTGAATTCTTATTACAACCCTATGAGGCAGATGTTACTTCTGTTTTGAAAATGAAAACACTGAGGAATTAAGGTTAATAATTTGGCCATACAAACATAGCTATTAAGTAACAGCATTCATGCCTAGGATGACTGACCCTGAAAGTCCCAGCTCTTTCCATTTTCCATCTTGTCTCCCACAAAACTGACTAGTTCTTACCATTTAATCACAGATTTGGCATTATATTTAGTGTGCTTTGGATACATGACACTATTACAAATAACAACCCTGAAAATATATGCCTATTTTACAAATGAGAAAATGAGATTAACTCCAAAATATATATGTAGCACAGCCAGAACCTAAGCCCCTCTGCAGACACCCAAGTGTATACTCACAACCAGTAAACCACTACTTCCCAGACACCGTTACCTCCATGAACCGTCCAATAAACTTCAGAACAGAAATCATTGCGTCAACACCTCAACCTCTTTACATTATTAACTTTCCTGATGAACTGAGGCCTTAAAAAAATGCCAATTCTAGGGCCTCCCTGGTGGCGCAGCGGTTGAGTGCTGGGCTGCGAAGCTGCCCACAGCTCTGCAGCGCCAGTTCAATTCCCGGCCGCTGGGAAGGGTCCCACATGGCGCACAGACCTCTCCTGCCACGCCCGCTGCTCCCCTTAGCAGTGTACTTCGTCAGTCTGCCTGTTCTGTTCCCCGCTCTGGTGAATTCTCTCACCCTTCCGAGCGCTTCTGACTGTACCCAGTGCTTGTATAAATAAATAAATAAATAAATAAATAAATAAATAAACAAACAAGCAAACAAACAAACAAATAAATAAATCTTAAAAAAAAAAAAAAGCCAATTCTCAACATAAATGAGAGCCTAATTATGGTGCAATGTGGGACAGCACCATATAGAATAATTAGTAACAGAAATAAAGGAAATCAACAAGGTAGTAAATCAGGTTTTAAGGAATATTTAAAAGGACTGAAACTGGACTCTAGTTATTTTGGCGTTGCTGATTTAACAACAGAATACAATTTTATAATTCCCAATTACTGTATTTTTTGATTCTGAAACATTCAAAGATTTACTCATGGTACTCCAAGAATTTCAATACTTACCACACATTATCCCCAAGGCTGTGCTAAATACTGCCATGTATCCAAAGTAAAATGATGTTTGAAATAAGCCATACATCCTGAAATAAAACAAAATGACTATATAGTGGATCCATTTTTACTTTCAACATAAAGCCTTAAATTCCAGTATTTAAATGACAAATTTAGTTTCCTGAATACAAAATGAAAAGCTGTTCTGAGAAAGTGTCTTGACTTACTTTGTTTTGAAAAAATAGTAGTAAAAGGAATACATGTAAACATAGATTGCAGTTGATGCAGCAGAGAGAAAACTTGTCCATTGCCTGGGGGGGAAGAAAGGTAGCTATTGAATGAATGGCATTAAAACAAAGATTTTACAGCAAAGAATTTTATAAAAACATCCTTTAAAATTCTGTATTTTAAAAAACAAGTGTATGTATATAGCATTTAAATATATCAACAGAGAGACTAAGAGTTAGAAGGAAAGAGTCTGGATTTTGTCAGACTCTCTGTTATAAGCAACCTTAAATAAACCATTACCCTTTTCTGAGGTAATGTGTGTCCGTGTGTTTACAATAGAGCAATGCTTCCTTTCATAAAATTCTTTCCATTATCAAGCACTTTGTAAAAATTTTTTCTAATAGTGATCCTCCTTACTACAAAATTTTTTTCCTATTACTGTTTTTCCTCTAAAATCTTCATTTTTATAACTGAAAAAAATTCTCTATTTTAAGTAGCAAAATTTCTCTATAGATGTTTTTCTCCATTCAACACACTTCAAGTAGAATTTTATTTAAAAGTATTAATTTTATTTAAGGTCCCCAAAGGTTCTTCCCACAAGTACTACTTACCATCTATAATCCTCTGCATTTAGTAGAAAGTATGTGCACACAATGGTCACACAGACGGTCACTATGCACAGGATGACCAGCACCAGCATCATGAAGCCATAGACATAATAGATCTTATATGCCCAAAAAGACGTGAAGATGAAATACCTACACAAAACACAACGAAAAGAGAGTTTCCAAGTCTACTCTTTAAGCTTATCCAGCTCATGATGTATCTCAATTATATCTTAATTCTCACTTTTTTCTCACTTAAATCTCAGTATCTGTTTTTCAAGTAACTTCCAACTAGTTCCCTTAACTTTTCCCATGCATTAAATTCTCTAAAATTCTCTCCAAGATATTTTCTTGGATAACTGTTCAAGAACAGATTCTTTAATAAAGCACTCATCTCGAAGCAAACAACAAATTAGAAATTTAAAGGAGTAAAATATGGAAAAGCAAAAACAAGACAGATAAAAATATTTGCAAAATAATGTCAATTCCCTCATTTTTTCCCTTTTTGTAGACACATTAGGTACTCTATATATTTTTTAGATTTATTTCTTTTTAATTTATTTATGCATATAAGAACTGGGGGGTAGGCCAGAGGTGTGGGGGTGAGGGGTGAGAGGAGGATTCACCAGAGACAGACTAGGGAGCAGAACAGGCAGATCTACTGAGATACACTGCTGAGGGCAGCAGCAGCAGAGACAGGAGAGGTCTGCTGCGTCAGCTCCCTTGGCTGGGGATCGAACTCATGCTGCAGTAGCTGGTGATAGCTTGATAGCACTGAGACTTTAACTCCTGCACCACCAGGGAGGCACTGTACTTTGTATTTTATGAAAAACCTTATTAAATAAAAAAAAATTAGGTTTGATGGGGTAATAAATATAAAAGTAGGAAAATAAAAGAAGTCTCATGCTCTTTTCAGAAGACGTGAAAGGGAATTAAGATTTTACACTAAGGAAAAGATCCTTGACTCTAATTCCCTTACTTGTCCTTAAATTAGAAAAGGATTTTAGCCTTTTTTTTTTCATGTTCCCTTCTTTCCTTGCTCACCTTTTAGTCATTAGTCATTTAATAGATACTTACAGAGTCTACCACATATCAGGGTAGCAAAATGACTAGAGACTAGAAATTAGTTTAGTGGGGGGAACATCAGTAAATAGGCAGTCATGATACAATGTGACTTGTGCTGTATCAAGGTACCTAAGAGCAGCATTTTATTGGTTTGGTTGGTGAGGCTTTGGAGGAAAGATGATTACTGATAAAAATTGTAGTAAGGTATATGGGGGAGGGGCAGAGAGAGCAAGAACACAGAAAGGATAAGACACAGGCGTAACAAAGACTTACAAATAAAGGAATTTTTTAAAAACTAAGGATATTTTGAAAAGGTCAGTTCTATGGGGCTACAACTTCAAAGACTGGAGACACAAACAGCACCAAATTGTATATTATGGAGGTCCTTAGTGGCTACATTGTAGCTCTTATCTCATGAAAATGAGAAATTTTTAGTAAAAAAGTGGCTAACAGTCCAACACTTTAAAAAAGACTACTGTGTCTCTACCAAGAGGTGAATGGATTTGAGGGTGAGCAAAACAGAGAAGATAAAGATATAGCAAAGAGGCTATCTAATGGAATGGAGAACCTGAGAAAGCAGGAAGACATATAATCAAGAGGTAATGAGGATAAGGGTAGGAGGGAAAAATAGTCAGTGGTCAAGTCAGGGTGAGGGTACAAGCAGTATCAGACTAGTAGAAGTACAGAAATTTCTGACTGACTTTGTTAAGCTACAAGCTGAGTGCCACAGACTTCAGTCACTCTAAGGTGGCTACTAGTGCCCACAGTGGACTCACAGCTGGCAGATGACCAAGAGACAAATCTATGTCAGTTGACGTGTTAGTGTAATTAGACTATTTTATTAAATGTTACATAAACCAAGAAATGTGAGGGGAAAATGTGTGGTTTCTATAAAAATCATGTTGAATGTTTTAAGAAATTCAATAAGGTGAATTATTGAAAAATTGTAAGATTAGAAGCAGGTAAGATGATTATGAAAGACTAGAGTTGAAATAAAGAAATCTAGGAGGACTTTGAACTTAGAATTCTACAAGTAGGTCTTTTTGTTTCGGTTTAGAAAGGCTGAGACACAAATATGTGTTACAAATGTCAAAGGAAAATTTATGGAAACACTAATTAAATACTAATCAATGAAAAGACCTTGGCTCTGAATTAAAAAAACCAACAGTGAAGGCATGAAGGATGTACCTTTGTCTTAATTTAAGATAAAATGTTATGTATCTTTTTTCAAAATTCCCTTGCATGAGCCAACTTTTTCAATTAACCATCTATGAGATCCAATCATGCTTGTTACAAAGGTGTTCACTATACAGAAAAGAACAAAAAGTAGGGCATCTGGAAACATGAAGGGAACTCTGAGTAATTACAATGACAAGCATTTCACAGGGACCACATGTTTCAAGGTATGTGACCACAATTCTTCAGAAAGTTCCATGCAAAGAAACTGTCTTGCCTAAAATGCTAGTGTATTTCCATCAAGAAAAACTGGGACACAGTGCTAAGAAAAGAAAGATTTATATTTTGAAGTGATGAGCAAGGATGCAGATATAAAGCACGGTAACTGGGTACAAAGTGGCACACCTTCCATCTCAAACACACACAAACACTTCCCAGCATGCCATAAGCCTCCATGAAAGGAGACCTAGGAAGGGACAACGCATGAAAAGCTGTCAGGGTCCAGACTGACTTACAGCTTACTTAGTTCCAAGGACCTTCAAATATTTTAAAAATACAATGAAAATCCAGTAATTCCTTACTTCATGCAAATGTGATCAAAGGCCGGTTTACAGCATGAATTCTTTGATATCTAATCTCTCCTGTTAGTTGAGAAAGGTCTAGAACATAATACAAAAAGTCTACACTTCACATAAATATTTGAGAACAGAAAACTACTTTTAAATAGATACAAAGACCTCCTTCTGTAGGCTATGGAATTTACAGACTAAATCTGCTAGATGCCTTTTCATCTGATGAATCTATACCTACTCTAATTCATAAATTCTTACTACAGCTAAATCCCTGTAAACATAAATACATTGCCCAAACTTACATTTCAATAAAGATTGAGCCGAAGGGTAAAATTCCTCCCAGGCAAACAATAACTGCAGGCTCCATGAACCTGGAAAATATTAAGATTAGTAGTTAACTTCTCATATGATTTTCATATTATATGAATTCTGATAACCAAAGGCAAGTGCTTGGTATTTAAAATAACCAAAAGGATAGAAACAAACCAGTAAAAAAGAAAAACTAAAATCCAAAGAGAATTTCAAAATTAGCTATGTTATAAATGAATTTTTTCCAGCCTAAAATAAGAATCTGGGAAATACACAGTGTCGTCACTGGCAGAACTTAAGGAAGTGTTTGCACATATTCCACACCTCTCCATACCTTCAAAGACTTTATAGATATTTTAGTTATTGAAAGCCCTAAGAAAATTATGTTTTGAGACACCTATCTGAAATGTTTTCCAAATTGTAGCCTTGCCATCTCTTTTCTCACTCTTTCCTTGGTCTGGTAATTTCTTTTCCTGTGATATAGGTATTAAGAATATTATGACTTCTGAGTTATAATGGAGCCAAAGGATGAATAAAAAAATAAAATTCAAACCTCATTTCACTTCACAAATACTTACTAACTACAACTAGTAATTCTCTATCTGAAATGCCGTCTCTCATCTTATACTTTTACAAACATTGACTCAAGTATTCTCTCTATAAAATTTCCCCCTAGGAGAAACCCCTAGGGAGAGAGAGGTCCTTCTCCCATGCTTTCATTCTCTTTGATGATCACTCCATCATGGCGCTTTCCACACCCACTGTAACTGTCCAATTAGAGCCATGACATACCTCACTGAAGTATAAGCCCTATCAGGAAGAAGCTATTCATCTAGGTATTACCAGTGCCAAGTATATAAAAGATACTACATTAATATCTCTGGAAAGCACTAAAAAACTTAGAAGAAAATCAAAGAAATTGAGAGTTGGGGAAAAAAAAAAACTTAAACATCATTTAGTCTAGTCTTCTTTCCTCATTTTACAAGTGGCCAAGACCCACAGAGGTATGACTGCCCACCCTGACAGTCAGTGACAGCCAGATCTATTATTCAGAGTTTGGTTCCAATGTGAATACATAAAGAAAATGAAGATACACACATTCTTACACCTAAGTGTGACCCATGGACACCGGCAAGCTCATGCATTGTTCTTTCCTCTTCCTCACTTTCCCAATAATGGGAAAGATAATCTTGATTTGAAAAAATAATTTTAAAAAACTAAAGTTCTCATAACCACAAACCTAAGAAAATAGGTACACAGACAATTCCTAAGTCTGTCTTCATTTCAGTCTTCACTTCTCCAACTGCCTATATACCTCCAAGAATACAAGACTATTTGAAATGTACCTGAAGATAAACTGCATTTTATGTTGTGGTAAAATATCTATAACAGACTTTTTAATATATATTCCTTGGTATGAGTAGGCAGAGTCTATTGCACAGCTATTATGAGAAGATGGGGAATGTAATAAATGTACAATAACATTGTTTTATTTTTGCCTGTTATGAAGAATTAGGAAAATAAAGAATGCAGAATAGCATATATCAACACAAAAATAATGAGCTCACTAATATGAAAAGGCAATATAAATGTATGAGTTCACATTTTAAATTTGAATTACAAAAATTAAAAATATAAAAATATTAGCTCATTTTATGTTGAAAATTAGAAAAAAAAATACAAACGATTTCAAATTAAAATACATCATGAATTTCAAAGCCATCTGGTTGAACTACACTTCTACTTATCTCTTCAGCTGTTATACACAAATACTCATCATTCTTTGTCAGGATTAATCTTAAATTAGGGGAGGCCTTCAAGAACACATTTTGTGCATACTATAACAGACATGAATTTGGGAGATTCTATACTAACCAGAAGTAAAGATAAAGAACCTAAGTTAATAAATTATAACTGGCTGCAACCCAAATTCATCTCTCAATTGACAGAGTAAGTGTGATTATAAATGGGCATCAACTTTGTTTAAATAATAAAACATCTGGAAAGGAAAATGAAATTATAAGCCAGTAATTGGCAAACTTTTTCCATAAACACTCAGATAAACTGAGTGTAAACCTCAGGTTTTGAAGGTGGTGTGGTCTCTGCCAACCACTGAACTCTGATGTTGCAGTGTAAAAGCAGTCACAGACAATATGCCAACAGAAGCCTGGCTATATTCCAATGAAACCTTATTTACAAAACGGGCAGAAGGTGAAATTTGGCCTACAGGTTGTAGTAATAAAATTGTTGCAGCCTTAGTTCCCACCCATCTCTACAGTCTAGTACACTTATCAAAGCATTTGACATATCTGTAAATACCATCAATATCTGCAAAGTGAAACAATGATACAAATTATTACTACTCTTAACTTAGGTTAGATGAAAAACAATAAATTCTTAAGTTCAAACTTAAAATAGTTACCCTTAAAAAATACATGTCAATTCTAAAGCTATATAGATATATATACACTTACATAATACATATATACATATATATATATATATATTTTATCCTTAAGAACTTATATAAGCAAAAATCACATAAGATTTAACATTCTTTTTACCATTTTTTCTCTGGTATGGGACGAGGCACTGCATTGACACGACAAGGAAAGTTGGGCTGACCTGACAAATTTCGGCCAAGTATTGTACCAACAAGATTTAGAGGAAGAATAACAAAAAAACAGATGCAACAAACGGCCACCTGTAAATTAAATTAAAATAACATTAATAAAAAGAAATAAAATGGACACAATAAACACTTTGATCACCAAAGAAAATATTGTAAGTTCTATAGGCTAAAATTTTGCAAGATATACATTAACATAAATAAGGAAAGAATATGCATTAAAATATAATAATTGATCTAAATGCAAGTATCCTATCTTCTACAGTTCCTTTTTTTAATGCTTCCATGCTGTCTCTGCTATAGCCCCTTTTCCTTCACTTTTATCTGTCAAGCTTTCAGCATATCCTTTATCTTTCACCATTATAGCCAACTTATTTATTTGGCTACATGACCTGGAGCCCCAAATATTACTAATATTGATTCCATTAATTCATAATTGATACCATTTTCATCAAGAGAAAATACATGAATACACACAAAAATACCACCAATTTGACTAGTCATTAGAGAAATACAAATTAAAAACCAACGAGACACCAGTACATATCCACTGGAATGGCTAAAATTAAAGACTGACCATATCAAGAGCTAGGCATTATGGGGAGCAATAAGGGGAACTCTTACACAATGCCAGCAGGAATAGAAACTGCAAAGTCACTTTAGAAAAGTTTAATAATTTCTTGAAAAGTAAACTATCAGCACCTCCCTGGTGACCCAGGGGTTAAGTCTCAGTGCTACCAGCCTGATGATCCCCAGGCAGGGACTTAATCCACATAAGGCTCAGCAGACCTCTTTCTGTCTCACCCACTGCTCCTCTTAGCAGTGTATTTCACTAAATCTGCCTGTTCTGCTCCCCGCTCTGTCTCTGGTGAATCCTCACACCCCCGCAACCTCGGGGCCTACGCCCAAGCTCTTCTATGCCAAAAAAAAAAAAAAAGAGGTAAGCTATCAAATGTAGCAGTGCTCCACAGTAGTTATTTAGCCAAGAGAACTGAAGACGTATTTAAACAAAGACCTATATAAGACATCTTACAGCAGCTTGATTTGTAATAGTCAAAAACTGGAAACATTCCAGAAATGTATTATTGGGCAAATGGATAAGCAAATTGTAGCATAGCTATGTAATGAAACATTACCGAGCAAAACAAAACAAATAAGCAAACTTAATACATGCAATGATATCAATAAATCTTAAAAAATTTTTTATACTAAAAAGGCAAGAAAGAATATTGTGTGATTCTATCTATATAAAATTCTACTAGATAATGCAAACTAACCTATGATGACAGTAAGCACAACAGTGGTTAACGGAGCATGTGAGTAGGAAGGAAAGAGAAGGAAAAAAAGGGATAAATTACAAAGGTACACAACAAAACTGAACTTAATACTTTCTCTTTTTGATTGTGGTGATAGTTTCCCAAATATACACATATATCAGAACTAGTCAAGTTGTACACTTTACATGCAATTTATCATGTGTTAATTATACAATACAGCTGTGAAACATACAGACAAAAAAAGGCATAAGACATTCACTAAGAGCTGACCATTGCTCTCAAAGATAAAGCTAGAATTCATTTTGAGAAAAAGTAAAGACAAAAGACACACACCAAAAACTGATCAACACCACCAAAACAACAAAGAAAATGTGATTTTGGGTCAATTACTATTTAAGAGTTCCCATGTTTTGTTCTGTAAAACAGGAATAATGCATACCACTAGCTCTGCCTATCTCTATCTCTGGGTTCTTCTGAAAATCAGATGACATAAGGGATGTGAAAATGCTTTGTAAACCACAAGGAGCTATACAAATGTGTCTGTCATTATAATTCATCTTGTTAGGCTTGGTACATCATTTCAGTCAGTAGAGATCATTTTAGATGCTGCCTTCACTCCATATAACTACTTCCTTCCCCAATCTCATACTCTTTTTCCATTTAATCATCAAATCTATGCTTCTATCCAAGTCATTGACAATTATTTTAATAATAATAATAGAATAGCTGTCACACTCTGCTAAAAGATAGTATGTGACATTTCATGATATCATGAATCACCCCAATACTCTAGTTCTACAATGGTTTAGTTACACATCTGCCTGACTGCACTACTTGCCCACATTTCTCCATCCTGTTCAACAAGGTATAATACTTTATCTAACGTCTTTTGTTCCTCTAGGAAAAATGAAGTTGTTCTGGCATTTTTGCTTAAAAAATCTATAATAGCTTCTTATGTTCACTACTGCCTGTGATTTAAAATAAGTTTTAGTGACATCCTAAAATCCTGTGCCTCATCAACACCAAGTTTATCACATTTTGGAAGGCAGAATCCACTTCTTCCTTTTCCCTCTGCTTATGTCCACTTTCACACCACGTCTGCTCTCTTGCACAGTTATTCAAACATTACTTATCAGAATGATGTCTCCGTATCTACAAAAGATCATTTATATGAACAACAAAACTTCCAGCTAAGGCTACTGGGTATTCCTGTATAATCAACCCCCTTATCTATATTATGTTTTCCTTCTGTATCATCAGGGATTATTTTCCTTTGATCTTTTCTTGTTTGATGAAAAATAAAAAGGAAGAATGGGATACAGCTTCTTCTTTTACTCTGCTACAATCACTGATTCCATGTATTGGTGTGTCGGAAAAGTCATGACATATTTTTTCTATGTTTTCTATGCAAAAACGCATCATGACTTTCCCAACAACCCAATAATAAGTGTTTGCTCTTGCTATGAAAATATCTTTAGAAACTCCTTTTGTTGGTCTTAGCATTTGTCAACAGTTCAGTTTACATAGTGAAGTTTTCCTAAGACTTTTATAATTCTTTAATGCTGGGCCTATATTGTATTCTTTGCATCCCACCTTTGAGAGATCACAAAATTCATTTATCTTGATTTACATTTTTTCTCACTATGGCAACTTCTGGTTATATATTATGAGTTTCATTTTGGAAAGTCTCCAATCTCAAGCCATTTTCCCAGTTATAGCCCAAGACCTGGGTCATGGGAGAGCATTTCCCTAAATATTTGTGAATTTTATTTCCTAAAACGTGGGTAGGTGGATAAAGCCCTCAACTGTAGAATCTTGGAGACACCAAAGAACTAGAGACAAGATTACAGAGAATGGGCTTTAAGTCCGAGGGCTCAAAGGAATGGGCGGGGGGAGGGTGAAGAGGTGTGGGGTAGGGCTGAAACAGCAAAAGAGGATCTGAAGACTCTCACTTTCAAACTAGGGTATTCAGTTAAGCAGAGACACCCAGTTTCTTAGACAGATGGTATTTATGTTTGGGAGCCTTTCAGCTGACAGATAGATCCACAGATGCTGGGAATTGGGATCAGGTAAACCCAAGAGACTGGGCTTAAAGTAGGGCAGATTAATTGGTTTGGGATGAAGCTCTGGGCACTAGAAAATTTTAAATTCCAAAGTGATTCTATATATGTACCCAGAGTTGAGAACCATGGAATTTGTGAGATATATAACCATTTCCTTCATAATGTCAATAAGTCAAATAACTAAAAATACAAATTTAAGTAGTTAAAATACCTAATTACTAGATCAGTCACGTCAAAGTCATGTCATTTTCTAAATAAGTTTTGATACTCTTAAATGGAAGAAAAAATATTAGATCATATACGATTAAGACTAGTAGAATTACCTTCACTAAGCATTCTTTCATTCTAAAATAGAGAGAAAATTAAGAACAGGACATTATACAAGTCTGCTAAGTGGGGACCAAACGCCCAGTATTTTATAAACCCTCTCTGGATCAGCACAGTATGATACTATATTCTAATAATTAGTAAGTATCAAATTAGCTATAGCCAAATTACACTGACTATCATTATTTAAAACCCAATTTACAAATGGCAAATTTTTTACTTTAGTGAAATAAAGCAATTTTGAAATACAATTTTCACCACATCAAATTCAAAACTTTGTGGGGAAAATATAACAGAATCCTATTTTGAAAGTACTATGAAAAAAATTTATTCACAGATTACCTTTAAGAAGTAACATGGAGAGGGCAGAGCAACATGGCGGTGAGGAGACGCTGCGAGTAAGATCTCCCATTAAAAAAAGTTAATAGGGAGGAAAAGCGGCAGGTCCCAGTGAGAACTGGGACACGGAAGATAAACGGGTGACGCCAGCAAACTGCCCGAAGAAGAAAGTGGCCATAAAAGAGGACCAGAAGGGAGGAAAGCGCAGAACCCTGCTCCCCTCCCCCACCCACAGAGTGGGCACTCTCCGACCAGCAGAGAGGAGGAAAAAAACAAACTAAAACGACCAACAAGAACAAACTACGCATCAAGCGGGACTGGGAGTGGAAAGTAACTATTGCAGCCACCACACCCCGTGAACGGGAGCTGTGGAGAACCCTGCAGGATTCGCCGCGGCGGTGAGCGAACAGCTCCGGGTGCCATTAGAGAAGAACAAAGAGACTCTGGAGACGCGCATACAGCCCCGGGCCGGCTGGTAAGCTTGCGCGGAAAAGCGGGATCCCGGCTGCCCAGGTCCCCGCGCCTGCGACCTAGGCTTGCGGGGAGACGCGCGGAGGCCCTCACTGGGGTGAAAGTCCCTCACTGAGTAAGCAGGAACCAGGCGCCCAGGCACGGGAGCGGGGTGCAAAAGGCGCCACTCCCGCGCCACTGAACTGGGCTACAGCCCGCGTCCCGGACCTGAGGGCTTTGGAACTGAGACCCGGGGCACGAAGTTTGGGGCGTGGGTTCTCCACGATGGTGGGGCACAAGGCAGACACAGCACCCCAAAGCTGTTGAGGTTTACCCTACCATTCCCACTCTGTTCCCTGTCCCACAGGGTGGGGGGGCGAAAAACAGCCCCCCAAGGACAATAGGAGAGATCTCTGGCACCACCTAGCGACCAGAAAAAAAAGTCACTAACACCCCATAGAACAGGGAAATTTCTTAAGACTGCTTGAAAAGGGCAGAAGGCTCCCGGAGGAGACAGTGGCCAGCTGGGAAGTTAGCCCACGCCAGGCCCCTTCCGACCAGGAGTCTGAGCCCACAGAGGGAACAGGCACCCACGGCCGGGGCAGACCGGGCGCGCAGA